GTTAATAAATTTAATTATTACAAACTTAAGCGTGACATATAAAACAATACTAAAAAGAGAAATTGAACTTAAAATAACTTATGCACGAATATATACATGCTGTTAATACATATATATAAAAGTATATCTATAATAGTGTTTTTCATGTATTTAATAACAAAATTTATCGAAAGATTCAACGTAAAAAGATACTCTTAAAAAAAAACCAGTTGTATAAATTTAGCTACTATATTTTCAACATGTCAAATGCATTTTCATTATAAATTATATAAAAACATTTTATTTTATGATGAACAGCTATTATAACAGTTAGTTTAATTCGTATTTACTTTACTATGTACTTTAATAAAATCGCAGAATATGGCAACAAATTAAATAAAAAAAAAACTATGAGACAGATATTATTAAAATAACAAATGGAATAAAATACAATCAATCATTCTTACAAATATTAATTTTATAGAAATAAGTTTGAAGATATAGTGATTCTTTTGCTCCCCCCCCCCCCAATATATCCTAACAAAGTCTAAAATGTACAATAATTATTATCGTTGGCACTCGTATATTATAGTATAAATAATGACTTTTTACTGACGCGAAATAGTTGTATAAAACCAAAGCTGCTTTCTTAATTAAATTTACATTAACCTTTTGAGCACGTGAAAATATTGATTACAAATCTGTTATGACAAGTATGTACATTGTAGGAAATTGGTTCGCAAGTGGAGTACAATCTGTAAACACACAAAGACTCCTTGATTCTGTGATTGTAACGAATACGAGCATTATAAGGAGAATTCGTAAACCACCTTACGAAGTACAAAAAACTCATTGGCGTAATGGTGAGATATTCCGAAAGAATCAATGACTTCCGATACTACTGTATCTTTACACAGTCTTGAGAGATTCAATTTGGTTTCGTAATGTTGTTTCATAACAAGTCATTATCAATTCTCTTTAGATCCCGAAATACAGAGACATTATTGGGCAGCATCTCTTCTTCTACCTATCGGGACAATCTTTGTTCTTGCTCTAATAATTTTTCTAATGGTAATATCTTACAGGTTGTTTTTTTATATGTTTGCAAATAAAAAATCAATCGCTATAAATTTACAATGACAATTAATCTCCAATAATTTCAGGTATTGTTCAAAAGATGTCCACAGATGATCGCCGCAATTGTCGCATCAATTCTTGGTATTATTATTATATTTATGGCGCTGATGTCAGTTATCCATGCCCCAATTTATGTTTAATATTCTCTGCCATTGTTGTTACAAAACAAGGGATGTAACGTTTTATTTTTTATACATTTTCCTAAAATATTACAAATAAAGATTGATGTGAAGATTGCTGTATTGTCGGTGCAAACAATTACACACACGCGCGCACGCGCACACATATGCACATATTGGATATTTTTATAATATGTATATTTTTTACAACAGATAAACAAAGTATGACTTTATCGACCAACTGTTCCATATGATTTCCACTAATGTAATACTGTACTTACTACTAGCGAATCTTGCTACTCGATTTTATTTGAATCATATCCTTCGACACCCTTATCACTTTTTGTTCATAGTTATTTAATGCTTCTTGCAATCTCTGATAACTCTAAAAATCAGCATTAATATTTCTACTAATATTTCTGTTGAAAGAATATATTTACATAAGAACATCATGAATTACATACCTCAGAAAAGATAGGATTTTCACTAACTTCTTTCAATTCATACAGTAACACTTCTAAAGTATTGAGTGGTAGCCAGACTGCTGGAGTTACGGACGTTAAGTGCGTTTTAAGACCAAAATTTTCTTTACCTTTACCCAAAACAGCATTGATGTATTCAACTCCTAACTCGCTAGCTTCTAATATTCTACCAGTATTTAACATGAGACGAAGAAGTTCTGCAGCATTTCGTTTCTGTAATATATAAGTAATATTATATTATATTATGTAATATATAAATAATATTATATTAATTAATCGATATTAATAATAGATATTAACAATGAGTTTTTTACCTTGTATGACATTAATAACCACTGAGGTATGAAAGCTCCTTCTTGAAGTAATTTCCGAGCCACTGCTTTATGCAACTCACTGCATCTATCATTTTCATGTTTCAACGTTAAATATTCTAACAATCTCCAAGCAGTGTTCGTGATGTTTGTATTAGATAAACCAATATCAAATATATCGTTTTGAATGAGCCAGTCCCATGCATTTGGATCTTCTCCTCGGCTCAACCGTATACACTGCGAAGTAAGGCTTTCAAGCACAGAACTTTTATTAACTTTAAATTCATCGCATAAGTGCAATGCTGTCGTGTACAGTCCAATAGTCGGTAGAATGATAATAAGCTCCGAAGGTCCAGCATGCGAAACAACATGCAATTCTGAATTTATTTTCGATATCTTCAATCTCGCATCCACAATATAGTATTCTCTTTTTATGTCATTTAATTCGAGAACTTCAACTTGTTTCTTTATTACATAATGCAAAGCATCTTCGTTACTAATACTTCTTGTTTGTACTTCATAATCCATTTCCTCTAAATAGTTCTGATCGATTACAGGCCTGACGATCCATCTATATTTTTCAGAGACAAGATGCAACGCGTTAATACACGCTAACAAGCACTGAGCTTGCCTTGATACAATTGCAACGGACTGCGATTCTTGGCTCAAACGCATAGCTTGCTCGTACATGACTGATGCAGCTATGAAACAAAAAATAAATTACTTTCTGAAATATCTTTAATTATTGTTTACATAATAAGTTAAAGTTAATACCTTTCCGCATATTTCCTTTATTTACATGAAAGCTATATAAAAAATTGTAATAATTATTTTCCATGAGATCCACACTTCTGGCTCTACCTTCTACTATTCTTTCCAAATCTTCATACATATCGACGTATGGAAATGAAATTAAATCTATTAATTTCTTTCGTTCAAAAAGAGTTACTACTAATTGTCTTAAACAATCTACTCTACGTGCAACATCTGGATTCGAATTTAAGCAATTGTAAGCTTTGATATGGTGACCCAAGTTCAAATGTTGCATAAATACTATTGAGTGAAGTGTTGGTAAATTAGGATCGTCTTTATCAGCCATTAATATAGCTGTTTCGGCGAGTTCTATGATACAGTCGAAAGCATTATGTTCTTCAAATAATTTGATAACTTTTAGATAATACTGAACTAACGAACTATTTTCGGATAGTATGCTGGATTCGAGTAAGGCGTCAGTTAAAAATTCATCCGTTAAAATTCCTCTGGAAGCTCGAAGAAAATGGTCGCAAGCTTTTTGTGCTTCTCCCATTTCAAGTAATGCGACCGCCAATATAAATTTCCTCGATGCACTGTTCCACTCGCACCACGTATTCAGAAGCCTTACGTATTCTTGGACCAATAAAAACTGACAACTGGACAATAGCCATTCAGGAAAAATAAAATTTCCAGATCTTGGCCAACTGATATTTTTCAATTAAGAAAATATATTGCAAAAATTTAAAAATAAAAAAGAAACATATCACACATAATAAATAAATCAACAGTTTCATAAAAGGATACATGAGTTGTGCAATGAAGGTGATATGTGTTAACATACCATAATGCCAAGGAATTAATGTAGTCGCATCTAGGTTTGTATGAGCCATCAAATTGTGAGCATGTTTCGCACCACTGCTTTGTATAAATAATTCTAGTAACGATAAAGATCGATGTTGCTTGAATCCTATGTTTGCTCTCGAATCAACGAGCTTCAATAATGCTAGACGCTGAATACTGGAATCTAATAGAGATTGCACAGGCATTGGTAATGCCGTGGATTCACATATCCACGTTACAACGTAATAAGCCTGCATTAACACTACTGTCTTGGGTGCTAGCGACGATTTTATGGAATGCAAAGATCGCGAATCAAACAACTCAGGTCGTAGCAGTATCATCTGTTGCAAAATCGATAAATTCCTGCAAATTGCAAACCTCAATTGCGTTATTTGCGCTACACTTTTTGAAATTGCCGAGATACCCAAATGGCTACCGAAGAAGTGATTTATATTGACTAATAGTTTCGAAGCATCATGATCATCATTTAGATGTAATTTGTTTGGTTGCCCAAGATCGTATGTTAATGTTTCCAACAACATTGCCATAGCGCTAGATATATCTCTGACGTTTGACAATCTATGACAACTAGGATGATGCGTGATAAAATTACTAATTGGTTCTTCTGATTCTAACATCAGCTTTGATAATAAATCGTCAATAATGATATCTGGACTTTTCAAATGATACAGTTCCTTTTTTATCGTTGTTTTAGTTTCTTCGGATAATTGTTCCTCTAATAGAACCAATGCTGACATTAAAGTAATGAGATCCTGACATATATCCTCGTCTTGCGATAAAACTGGCGTTGTCTTGAATCGCGATGTGTATGATTTTTCATTGCAAAACATTAAATATTCCAAAGCTTCCATTGGTCTCAAAAGTGAGAAGCATGACTTTTTAAGAAGAACTACCCCATAAACGCTTGGCAATAATAATAATCCCACTGGCCTGGTGCTGTTGGCATGATACTGTATGACGCAAGAATAAAATTTTGACCAACAACGATTTGCAATTTCTAAATAATCTTCATCCATCAGTTCGTAATCCATAATTTCAGCTTGTATTTCAGCTTCTACCGCAATACACACACGGTCTTTCAATTCAGCAGCGGAAAGAATTTTATCTTCTATACAATTGGACCTTCGGTATATGTTCAACGCTTTTGTTATATCTGTCAAAGAAAATTGTCCAGGCTGAAAAATGTAATTGATGTATGCTTGTCTCGGATCAGTATCAGCATCGCTAAGAATATAGTCCCTATCCGGTGTTTGCTCTAGAATTGCAGCTTCCCATTCAGAGTTAACACGCGCACCGCTCAATGATAATTGAGCATGTGTTACTTCAACTGTATCCATATCAGTAGTTCTCCAGACAGCCCATAATCGGGTAGTAGTAAAGAAAAAATCAACTAAATGTTGCTACAAAGATTAATATATGTAAGTTATTTCAAGTGATAACAATTAGTAATTAATGGATAAATGCAAATAATACATACATCTTGTGCAAACTTGGTATATAATCTAACAAATTTAAACATGCCATTATCTTGAATCGGTTTTAAAATACTAAATTCACATCTGGTATTAAATTTTAAAAAAATTCCTAAGTATAACTCATTATTAGGGCCTAATGTTTTTCGTAATATATGGCCTTGTGCACCTTGAGATGCAACTCGATTATCTATCGCTGTATCAGTTACGGCCACGCATTGAGTTTTATTGCAAGACCACATCCGAATATTACCTTCACGGCACAAAGCAAACAAATATGTATCATTTTCACAACTATGTATAGTTAATGACATAGCCACATGAGCTTCAGAACTACGTCCTCTGAAAGCAGTTGCGATACCACTAAGAAATCTTGGTACTATTGAATCTTGTTTTAATTCACTGGTGTGCACAAGACCAGTTTTAGTGTCTAGTCTTAAGAGAAGTATAGTTCCAGAATTATAAGCAAGAGCAAATAATGCTTCTTGTAGTGGAATGAACCATGATGCAGCTGCATGAGGAACTGGAGAATCTATAAAAAGACAAAAGTTAAAATGCAATACATAAATACTGCATTTAAAAATAAATTCTGTAAAAAATTACTAACTTGTAGTTCCGGCATTCGTAATTACATGAAACATGTGAGGATCTTCTTTAGTTTTTTTCACAGTTTGTGCAGACATTTCACTAAATATTGATTGTATACCTAAATCTTTATATGTACTTAAAGAGTGTTCCTATAAAATAATAATTTATTTATTTAATATCTACAATCATACGATATATATTTAGCTTTTAAAAATTACTTACATTCTTATGTATTCTTTCAGGATGAGGAAATGATAACTTATGAACACTAGAAACAGTTGCTATTAATACAATGACTGAATTAACTGTTTCATGTATAGAAATACCATCCAAAATGGGTGTATCTGTAAATTTATATCTTACTCTGCAGTTAGCTAAGTTGATATCTAAACTGTGTTCAACCAACTCAAGTACATCGTGACAAATACGCCAATAAATAAATCTATTTCGTGTAAAATATTTTGAGCCATCATTATATGAATAGCCTCCAGCTCTTTCTGGAACTTTTATGTCCTGTAAAGTACTTTGACTTCCACCTGCAAAATAACATAATTATAGATACAGATACCGTGTAACTAATTTTTTATTTGAAAAGTAAGGTTAGAAATTCAGATCGTGAGATTTAAAGCGTAATGTTGTCGAATCGATAGATATTTTTGTAAATGAGAAATAATTCTTAGGCATAGAGTAAAGAACAGTTAATCTTAATTGTTTCTTAAAGAACAATTTTATTTATTCGATGAAAGTGAGGTTACGATCATTTACCCGTGTTCAACGTGATTTCGTGCCATTTTTCTGGTACGGTTTGATCAGGCACAACTTCTCTGTATCCCAGTAGGAATTCTTCCATTTTTTAATTCGTTTATGACCCAACTATTATGTTAGTTTAACTTTTAAATCACATTACACTGTTGCTTAAAATTTTAGCGGGCATCGAACACCAATGTCACGCTTCACGCTTCGCGCTTTACTTTGGCGCCGTCGGCTTTACCTTCTGTTGTTAATTTGCATATTTCAGTGTTTCATCACATAACATGATGATATTGTATTCTACGAAAACCGCGAATAAAATACTCGTAAAGAATAAGTATAAATGAAAACGAAAAAGAAAAAAGGAAAATTAACGAAATGAATACGAATGTGATGGTTTTGATTAGATTTAACGTTACGAAAATTGAAATATACAAATCATTGTTGCAGAGAATATAACCTGTAACAGCTAGGTCAATCATTGTACATTAACAGCACAAAATAGTGAAGAAACAGGGATGAATAAAAAACTTATCACGGCATTCTATCTTATATTGAATATATTCTTTTCCATTGTAATTGTATTACTTAATAAATGGCTCTATGTCCACACTGGCTTTCCAAACATTACACTGTCTATGATACACTTTGTTATTACTTTCATTGGGTTAATAATCTGTGAAAAATTCGATGTTTTTTGCATAAAAGATATCGCTATCAAAGAGATGTTTTTCATCGCCATGGCGTTCTGTGGATTTGTTGTACTGACAAATCTGAGTTTAGCTTATAATACTGTTGGGACTTATCAAGTAGCTAAAATGTTAACTACACCCTGTGTGATAATAATGCAGATGATAGTTTATAATAAACACTTTAGCATACTTGTTAAATTGACGTTGATTCCTATTATACTAGGCGTCGTAATTAATTTTTATTATGATATACAATTCAATATTATCGGAACAGTATATGCAACCATGGGAGTACTTGTAACTTCCTTGTACCAAGTGGTATGGCTTGTATTTATGGAGCATTTTTTTAAATTTAATTAAATTTGAATTCAAGTGCTGTAATAAAATTTTAAAAGAATTTTGATGTTTCTAGATGGTAAATATAAAACAAAAAGAGTTTCAAATGGATCCAATGCAGTTATTGTATTATCAAGCGCCTTTGTCTGCTGTTATGTTATTTTTTATAGTACCATTTTTAGAGCCTATAGAACAAACATTTACAATAAGCTGGTCTCTAATAGACATAGTATGTTAAAAGACATTATTGAATTATATTTGCTAAGGAAAAGAATGAAAGAGAGATTACTGAATGTTCTTTCATTTTGTAGGTCATGGTTATACTGTCAGGTATAGTAGCATTCTTTGTTAACTTAACTTCCTATTGGATTATAGGGAAAACATCTCCATTGACGTATCCTTTCTTATCTGTTTTTCATCAAAAAAAATTTTTTTAATATTGTTCTACATGTCTTTTCTTATTCCTTATCATTATAATCAGTTACAACATGGTAGGACATTCCAAGTTCTGCCTATTACTTTTAGGCGGTTCATTAATTTTCCATGAAACACTGGCTATAAATCAAGTAATTGGTATAACTTTAACCCTGATTGGAATTATTTTGTATGCTCATGTTAAGGTGAGTACAATAAATGTGCATGATGTTAAAAAACTTTAATTTATAAATAAAACTTTTATTTATTTCAGATGAAGGATACTCAAGTAGTAGTACCAGATTGTGAAGATAAAGAGAGAAAACCATTGCATAAAGTATAGTTTTGTATGACTACTTATTTGTCTATTGATTATGTAATTTGATAGAAATTAAATTATTCTATTATACTTGCTATTTATTTTTTTTCATTTGAATTATTCTAAACAAATAAAATGTAATTTTTTGAAAGAAAAGAAAGTTTGAGAAAAAAAAGAAGTATAGAAGAAAATTCCAAAAGGCAGGTCAAAGTCACACCTAGGGCCTTTATTTGAGTGGAGGAACACAACTCAATGTTGTTACAAATTAATGGGAACTTTTAAATTATATGAGACCTTGTTCAAGTATTCTGCCAGGTGTATCGGACCTATTAGTACATGTCTTACAATTTGTTTATATAGAAACTATCTATTCATATGAGTACTTTGGAGAAAATAATTTCTTTATGAGACATCTATTGTTGGGAAAGTGAATTACTCATGAATTTTAGTATACATACAATTAACACAGACTAATATTTTACTTACTATACTACTAAACTATTAATGTTATTTATAATAGTATTTATTGTATATTTTATGATTATTTTATTTATTCATAGATTTTCTAACTGATTTAATGTTAGCAGTTTGGTTAAAATGAACTTGAAAACTTTAAAGGAAAGATTCGACTTTCGCGGTATTTTGAATTTTGATTTCTCCATGCGCCTAAACTTCGTTCCCATGACGATTTGACATAGTAGGGATAGGAAGTTGTATCAATCAAACATTTATGCAACGCGCTTATTCCGGTAATAAGATATTTTTCCTATATCTGAAACACTATGAAGATCGAAGAGGTAAAAAGTACTGCAAAGACTCAAAGAATATCGGCTCATACGCACATAAAAGGATTGGGTCTTGACGAAAATGGAGTAGCGATACAAGCTGCAGCAGGTCTTGTCGGCCAAGAAATGGCTCGTGAGGTTAGAATTATTCACATGTCAATAAGTAAAACATTAATAAAGATTATGATGATGATCCAACACTATTGGTTGAAATATACATTCATTTGCCAGTGCTAACTGTTCATCATAAATATTAAATCATTTCTTGTATTTATTTCAGAAGTAACATTAACCCTTTGCGGTCCTATGTCGAGTGTGACTCGACATCGCTTTTCGTTC